TAACCGCAAGTCATGCATGGCCGGTGCCGTCCGGATGGATTCACTCAGCCGGCACTTCTATCTCCGCTACCGAAATACGCCTTCATGCAAATCGAATCTGAGCCGAGTTACGAGATCACAACAAATTGGCAATGTCGTCGCTATCTCGAGTGTCTCTCGGGGAGGATGCCTGTGCTCACAGACAGACAGGCGTATGAATCCACTCGTGAGGCCCGAGTATGAAATGGATTTTCTGAAGGGGAAGGGGTGTGTATTTTCGGCATATTTACGGCCTTCGGGCAAGACAAATCGGCATTCTGGGCGGGCGTGTCTGGAAGGAATGAGTTAAAAAACTGTAGCACACAAAGCCAACACGGAGCACGGATGCTTTGCTGACAGCAAGACATGCCGACAGTCGGTCCGCATGTTGAAGGAGAGTTGCGTTTAGCCCAAACTGGTCCCGAACGGAAGGAGTGAAATGGAGGCTGTACCAAAGAGCCAGCCGCGCTAAGACGAAGCAGCGCACAGCATCGGACAGCAAATGGAATTGAGGAGGCACAAAATAGAGCTGGGAACACTGCTTTACAGCGTTGCCACCGTTTCACCAGTCTGTGAAACCTTCATTTGGCCAAGAGATTCCCTTCCAATCTCGCAATATCAACCACACTTTGTCACTCCTACTCGCAGACTCAGTTACCACTACCGATCGAGGAGTGAAAGCTGAAGAAAAGATACGATGAATTTAATAAAAGGCTTCACGAGGTAAATGAAATTAACTTTGTCGCGCCATCCAAAAAAAGGCAATGTTCAAGACAAACCGGGCCTAGTGAGTCAGATTTGTGTGTGTGTGTGTGTTTAGGGGGGGAATGGTGTTTAAACTGGTATTTGATGTTGGCGTTGTGAGAGGCGAATGGAAGAGATTTTTCGTAAATTGGCTTCACCGGAAGCCGAACGATGATAGAGCTTGGAGTCGTGACTTCGATTTCCGGTTAGGCCAATTTGCGAAGAATCTTAACCACTCTTCATTAAAACACAGTCTTTCTTCATATCCACGAACCCAATATTTTGCACTAGAACCGATGACGTTACAATATACCAAAGAAATCTGTTTCAAAATAATCAATGTACCTGAATTACCTGCCCGAATAACCCTAAATATTTAAGATAAAGTGATCTGGAGGAAGTGGGGTTCTTACAGAAGAGGTGAGACTAGATTCAAAACCTGTTCATGCAGACTGAAACAATGTAGTCAAGTTTAATCGTAAATCTGAGTTAGGGCCTGGTTTGTCCTAAAACTGGAAGGTCATCATCCTGTTGAGAATGATGATGATGATGAGGATGAAGATGATAATGGCACGAGCGAGGTGGAAACTGTAAGTCAAGAGTGGAGGAGTAGGCTACGCCAACTTCATTAGCATCCTGAAGTCTTTACTCATTCCAATGTGGAACATACAATAATCATCACATACATCACATCAGGCAACCTGAGCCGGCATGATTTCACATGAATGTTTCAAGACATACTCAAATGGAAGGTAACAAATGTGACAAAGCAGGGACCGTAAACAATAGTCAGCTGAAGGTAGGATGAGCAACTGGGTTTCGATTGACCCCCTAAGCCAGTGATTCCCAAGCTGTGCGCCGCGGCCTCTTTACAGAGGCGCCGCGAACTATAGTAAAAGCTTCAATTTGAGAAAATGTGCAGGGATTTGCAGGCTCATCCAACACATTAATTATTAAATATTAATGTAATGTTAATAAAGTAAAAAAAAATAATGACGATACTTACGAGTAGGGCGCCATGGAAAAATTTTAATTGAAAAATGGCGCCGTGACTAGGAAAAGTTTGGGAACCACTGCCCTAAGCTGACAATGTCGACGGGACTTTCGTTTCGCATGAAAATGTGTGTCGTTATTTG